AATGAAGTGGTTCCATTCATTCCCAGCAGCTCGACTCGCTGCGTAGAGAGCACACTGGACAGGCCGCGCGAGAAAATTTCCGGTCGACCCCGCCTCCAGACCAGGGAAGAATGTATTCTTTCTCCCCAGGTATTGCAGCGTGGATCTTGATGACAACTGAAGTCACTGACGAGTTTCTTGATGAAGTATATACAATGTTTTTCAATGGATATGATTTAGCAGCACAGCTCGGAGCTTAAGTATCTTAGACAGATATACACAATAAAACCGAGTAGCACACAATCCGTCCCCGACAACAGTATATTCCCGGGAATAGGAAGAATGATCCATTCTTCCCGTTTTTGGGCCACGCTGATCAGCAGTTTTCAGACAGTAAGCAAATGACGCACGCCCGAAAGTTGCTTCGTACCCTCGTTACGAGAGTGTCTTTCTCACCGCCAATAATGACATATACATGACGTTGTTACTGTTACCATAACAACATCAACTAAGTATGAACCGCAGTTCAGCCTTCCACTCAACCCAAGTGTCGCAGCATTGAGACACGTCACATAGTCAATGCCCGGCATGACGCCACCTATTCCTCCCACAGCCGGAAGGTCCCGTCCAGACTCCCAGACACCAAGAAGCGACTAGGAGCTTCATATCCGCTCTCAAGTGACACCGACTGAACCTGAGTCACCACAGCAGCACTCCCAAGTGAGAATGCCGCGGACGGCGCTTCCTGCCGAGTCCTCATGGCCTTCTAAGGTCCTCAGAAACTTCTTCTCCCACACGTCGAACAACTTCACCGATGAATCCATCGAGGCAACAGCGATGACCTGCGAGCGCCGCCTGTTCTGATAACGATTCCTCTCGGATGTCACCGTTCCACTAATATCCCAATCAGCTTCGTTGGCCGGCATATTTCCAGTGTCTATTTGCAGGACCTCAGCCACCATACGCAAATCCCAAACCTTCACGACGCCGTCTGCATCAGCTGATGCCAAGTACATGCCCTACCAAAAACGACGTAATCGAACGACATTCAACAGTGCGTGTCAATTTGATATGCAAATTCAAGATGATATTATGAATAATTTCACGCTATCATAGCCTCAAACGATTACATTTCTCACCGTACATGTTCATAGCAATGTTTACATTGTATTTGCCAAGAATAAGGATGATTATCATTAATCTCGGGAAAAACGCTCATTTTCCACATTTGCGTATCAAATTTGCATGCACTGGAGTTTCACCACCCTAGTGATATGAAAAAACGCTAGTGAAAAAACATATTCCACGACTACTGCGTAGCGCGAACATCGCCTTTTTCACCGAGTAATACGCCACTTCACATGCAACGGGTGAAACTCCACTGTACTCCTAGGCAACAAGTTTAGTATAACCCTACCGGAAATATTTCCCCACGATAGAATCACAAGCCGTGTGGGAAATAGAGAATTTCCGATACGTGATAGTACCTTTCCATCAAAGCGAGCATGGTTGAGTGCATTACGATGACCATAGAAA